TTATGCATTGACATTATCCAAAGGAATTATGAGTAAAAGAGGCTGGGGGGGAGTAGGCTAGAAAGCAGAAACAATGCTTACGTTTTCAAGTTATGAAATTGTTTACAATTAATGAAATATATACAGCACAAGGTCTAACCAATCACTATTTGCATAAAAAAAGATGTGTAAGCTCACACTGCCTTTCAATTTCCAAATATCCTTCAAATCCCTTTAAAAAAATAGTTCTGATGTGACATTTTTCACAATAAATATCTTCCTATGAAAAGGAAAAACACAGGTTTTAATTAAGTTAACCTGGAATTACTTAAAGAATACTCACAACTGATATTTGAAAAAAGAGTTGTGTGACACTGTATTTAACAACATGCCCTGTTAATGTTAAAATTATCTTTTAGTCTAATGAGTAGGTGTTACTATTTTCTTATCTGCATCTTTAAAGGAAACTATACTTTTAGTATCCCTTTAAAAATAGTCTTAATTTGCCTTGAAAACATTAGAAAGTTTAAGCTGCCTATGTCTTTGAAAAAAATAAAATACTAGGACCTTGCTTCATGACTTTGAAGTGCAAAATTGGACTGAAGGTGGGCGAAACCCAGAATGTACTAGAATAAAAGAAATCAGATATAAGCTAGTAGATACTAAAATAAAATAGTTCACTCTGGTACTTTATACTTTCCATAAATGCAGAAAAATCAATGATAGACATTTTGCCTTGTGTTTACATCTGAAATAAGCTTGAAAAAAGGGGATATTTTGAAAAGTTGATGGCACTTGAGTATAAAAGAAAGCAATTCTCTTTTTTAAAGTAGGAAATACAGACCTCTAGTGGTTGAAATATGTATTGAGAGAAACTTCAGAGCGATTTAAATGTCCCTATGCTTAACTGTGTTAGTTTTCTTTTCCCTTACATTTCCCCTTCACTCCCCACCCCATCATTCAAAACACACACCCCGAAGTCCACCGTTCAGTTACTCCACAAGCATTTATTTTTTCCCAGAGGAAAAAGTCCTTTCATCTGTCCTTTTCTCACATAAATTTTATGACTTAAACTGAGTACAGTTGGAAAATATTTGGGAAGCAGAGGGAAAATTAATGAGTGGTCTATGAAAACAAACAGAAGAGAGTTTCCTTCTTTTAAGAATAAACTACGAAGGCATCATACAGAAGGACTGACTCTTATGAAGTATGCTGGAGGAAATAAATACAGAGAAAGTCTTACAGACAACATCAGAGTATATACACAGTTTGCATTTACAAGGTATCAATAACTGGTCCTCTACTAGTACAAAGTAAGTTATAAGCATTTTAGAGTTATGTAATGGAAGAAACAGAGCCTGGAAAGATCACAGGCAGTTTATTTTCCAGCTATATAGAACTAACAGAAATGAAGCAGACCAGCTCCAACACTTGCAAGGGGAGGACAGAAAGAATCCATGTATAGGTTAGAGAATCAAACAGATAAATACTTTAAAATTAAAAACCCCTAGATACCACAAAATTAACAACAATTTCAAGAGGCAGTTGATTTAGAAAAGATGGACCAGGAGGACAACTATTAAATGAAAATGCACAGGCCAGTCCAAGGTTCTGTAAATTCTGTTTGTGCTCATGTCAGACCATCTTCTGACCCAAAACTGAAAAAGCAACAGGCACCTGGACAGTTACTAATACAAATCTTTTAAAGCTTACTTTCTGATCTTGGTGCTCATGAACTGATGTACAGTGTTCAACCCCTGCACTGTCTGTTGCAGTTCCATTTCAGTAATATTTTGATTTATTGTCATTTACTGTGAAGTCAGATGCAACTCTCTGTGGAAGACTGTGGCAGTGATGACAGGGAGGCCTGTGCACACTGCAAAGCCACAATGGCTTGAGTTTACATGACTTTATTTGCCCAAGTGTTTGCATTTCTTTTCCCCTCCTCAATTCACCTATCAACTCTGGACTAAAAATACTAAGGAAAATGTGAATGGGGAATAGAGACTGTTAGAAGGAGCAGCAGAAATAAGGAGAAAGGTAAATTTATGGCTTCACAGTCAGGAATACCAGGAAAGAGGCTGAAGAAGGCATATGAAGTGGAAGAAATTATATTCATTAAGGCAGTGAGGATAAAGGGGGTTGTTCTGCTGAACAGGGAAAAAAAAAGCAGTGCAATAAAGCATGTTGAAAGTGTCATTAGTTTCTCAGCAACTAAAGAAAGAAGAGGGAAGAAATTAGGAAAAGGGAAAAAAAAAAAAATTACAGGAAAAAAAGTTTATGCCACCAGAAAGAAAGAAATAGTTAATATATTGAACATATTGTTCTAAATTTTTCTCAGCTTCGCTTCCTCCTGTGCAATCATTGTATGTAAAAATAGAATGCATCATCCTGTTAAACATGGAAATATCTTCTCATTTGTAGGAAGAGCAAATAATCCACCTACCAACAGAAGGGGATAAAAACAACAAACTTGTGTTTTCTAATGGTGAAGTGGCTACACTGTAGCAGGTTTGGTTGGTCTGAGTTTATTTAGTCTTTGTCAAAGCAAATATCAAAACCACATTTTTGTTTACAGTCTGACTTGGGACACCTGCTTACCTATTTATAGCTGATGAAGTTCTCACAGAAAGCAACAGTCAGTCCTATCTTCCAGTACACAAAGCACTGTTTACCTTGCATGGCCTCAGAATTCCTTGTTTCCACAGGCAGCATAATTGGGATGCACTTTAAACCAATAGAAACAATGAATGGAGTGGTAAATAATAGCTGGTAGAGCAGTGTGAAGCCTTTCATTTTCAGTGACTTATAATAATCATTGTAATTTAAAAAGATAGAAGGTCAAAAAGGACAGTAAATGTACAACAGGTTTGCTGCTCACTAGATAATTTGCTTTGAGATTGACTTTGCAACACCATTCACAGTCACATAAATTCAGTCCTCTTAGTAGAAGCTGCTTGGGTATCAGCCTTAAAATGATCCAACTACCATCATGTTAACTCAGGTAATTTGAAATGGAAATATCAATGTGCACAATTTCAGTATTTGCATTTAACTGGCCAGTGTTTTAACGTGCTCTGGTCAATTCTGGCAGCATAAAGCTATACCAGCCACCTATTGCTGCAACATTTTCAAATGTTCTGCAGTACTTGCCTTCTAGAAGTATCTACTTTGCATAAAATGTGTATAACTATGATCCAAATGTGTATAACTGTGATCCTGGGACAAGCAGGTAAACTGACAAGTGAGAATGACAGCAGAGATGACAGTGGTACAGAAGATAAATCATTGCCTGTAAGTGAATACACCAGTTAGTACACCCAGAGAAGGATGCACCTGCCAAATAGTAGCCCTGCTTGGTTGCTCTAGTCACAGAGGAAGGTCTCGATCAGCCTGAACTGGGCCCTGATCCACTTCACTGCGAGTCTGAGGTGCACTGGTGATTTTCTTCATAGAGACTATGATAATGAACAGACCACACAGCACCAGCACGTAGCTGGGACAAGGCAAATACTGCCAGACCTTGATGTTGCAGAATCTATCAGTGGTTGTCAAGTCTCCTTGGGCACTTTCACAACCAAGAGATGTGATAAGAGGATTTCTTTATCTTGAAATCTTTTTATTGTGGCTCTCCCTGTCCTATGGATAGCATGACCTTCCACAGAGCCAAATACTGTGTATTCTAGGTTTGGCACAGTTTGAAAGCCAGGAAGCTGAGCTTAGGATGTATTACAGTGCTATGTGTGATCAGAAATGTGTACATTTTTTTGTGTCAGAAATATTTTTGCAGAAATAGCTGGGGTATCTGTACCAAATGGGGCAACAAGTCTAAATGACAGAATTAATTGGAGAGACTGGGAGGTATCACGTTGCACATCTTGATGAAGGGCTTACTAGTTGCATATAACTAGATACTCCAAAATTGATAGAATAATCCAGAACCTAAATCTTGAATATGCACTGATAGCTTTATGGAAATGAATCAGCTTATTAATGCAAACATAAAAGCACATGAGCTGAGATAGCTTTTGAAAGACACAGCATTTCTGTAATAAATTGAGAGCCAAAGAGTGACCTTCCACTGCAGACTTCCTGTGCAGGCTTTGCCAAGACCTAACTATGCCTCACCTCCCTATTAAAGAGGGAGACTAAAAAGACAATCCATTTGGAATATGGTTGTCTCCCAACGTAAGCATGTCAAACACTTACCAGAGCAGCGTTCTGTCCTTAACAGGAACAAGTGCTGAACAACGCAAATAATGAGCAACCACCTCCATAACAACGCAGCCCATATTTCTATAATGACAGGTGTCTTTTCTTTCTGAATGCATCTCTACTGACCAGAGTCTTAGGGTGTGTATCTATATAAGTGTGACTTACACTTATAAGGGTTTTATTTTCTTTCTAAAGCAAATACTTTTTACTCAATCTTTGTCTCAGGCAACTCCATTTGGGTTTGGCTGACAGCTGTCAGGATCCTGCAGGCAGCAATGAACACCATTCTGCAATAGTAACTATCAATATTTTAATGTAGGTGTAGCTTCTGACACATCAGAATAATTTTGCTTAGAAGATATATCACCTATTTATGCAAAAAAATAACCTTAAAGCTCCCTGAATTTATAGTGATCTGCTATTCTGAGTCTCTATTTATTACATATTTAAACTAACCAGTTGTAGTTTAAGTTGGAATCTTGCTAACCGAAAGAAGTTTGTTAGATTTCACACATGTTTAAAAGAATCTAACAATGTCCAGCCAACTCCTAATATTCTTACTTCTGTTTTATTCTGCAAACACATTATCTATTCAAATAGAAATTGCTTGAAAAAACACTTAGAAATGGCTAATTTTTAAATTCAAAGGCACTGACACATTTTGCTAGACACAAAAACTGGACATTTCATTGCAACTTTTTTATATTAAATATCTATCATGAACAATATTTTCTTCCTCTTTTTCCCTCCTAGGTGTGAACATCGTATTTTCTCCCTGAAGGTAGGTTACAGCTGAAGACATCAAGATGATTCCAAACTACTCTACTGAAGAAACCGTTAAAAGAATCCATGTCGACTGTCCCGTTTCAGGAAGGCACAGTTACATCTACATTATGGTTCCAACTGTTTACAGCATCATCTTTATTATAGGCATATTTGGGAACAGCCTGGTCGTGATTGTCATTTACTGCTACATGAAATTAAAAACGGTAGCCAGCATCTTTCTTCTAAACCTGGCGTTGGCCGACTTGTGTTTTTTAATAACTCTACCACTCTGGGCAGCCTACACGGCCATGGAGTACCAGTGGCCTTTTGGCAACTGTCTCTGTAAGTTGGCCTCGGCAGGGATAAGTTTCAACCTGTACGCCAGCGTGTTCCTCCTCACCTGCCTCAGTATTGACCGCTACCTGGCCATAGTACACCCGGTCAAGTCCCGAATCCGACGTACCACCTTTGTTGCCAGAATAACTTGCATTGCCATCTGGCTGCTGGCCGGCGTGGCCAGCTTGCCCGTCATCATTCACCGTAACATATTCTTTGCCGAGAACCTGAACATGACAGTCTGTGGGTTTCGGTACGACAACAACAACACGAC